ACACCCCCCATTCCGCCCTCTCCTTTCGCCTCTCCCCCAAGCCCAGACTCCGGATTTTCACCACGGTACGCCCCAATTCCTCTCCCTTCTCTCCTATTTCTGCGAATTCTATTTCCTTCGTGTCTTGGCTTTGGGTTTCTGATTTTGTATTTGCGTCCTGCTGTGTGAATTTCTTAGTTGCTTTTGGATTTATTGGTGGGTAATTAAATGTTTCAATGGAGTGTTGTGTAGGACGCTTGCTGCCAATCGGCAAGGACAAACACAAAGAATGTCTTTCAAATGTAATTCTTGGACTGTTTTATTGTAATACACAAATTTGAAAAGCAATCTAAAAGCAGACCGCACTGTGAATTGGGTACAACCTACGAACAGCTAGCTCATAAGCAAGGGTTAAATGTTTGGAAATAACTTTTATAGTGATCCATCTGCAATGTTTCCAATTTTGTTCCTACTCTGTTACCTTCTTAGATCAGTACACCTTCCACCTGCAGACAGATTTCTACCAATGATTGTATAGAACTATATCACTCCAGCTAAGACTCTATTTTGCATGCCGTGCTGTTATTTTTTGTCATGATTAAAGCGTGTGATGTAAGTGTTATGTTGCAGGGTGTGCAGCCAATTCGTAAGAATTCAGCTTTCCTGCGAGCACAATTGAATGAGGTATGCTTACTTCGAATTTTTGTTGCAGAGGATTTTATTTTGTTGAAGTGCTTAGTCCTTCCTAACTTGCTGTTCTTGAAGTCGTCTGTTTCATTGAAGGATCCTGTTGATGGTTCTACTGCTGCGAAAACTTCATCTGAGTCAGCTGGAAGGGATGCTAAACCATTGAATGATAAAGAATCTTCTAAAACTTTGGCAACGGAGGAGTCAATCTCTGAGTTCATTACTCAAGTTTCAAGCCTTATCAAGTTAGCTAGCTGAATCTTTGAACTTTTCCTCAAAATTATCCTACATATGGCTGGGGTGTAAGTATAACATTTTGCTACCTGCTTGCAGACTTGTCGATTCAAGAGATATTGTAGAGTTGCAACTGAAACAGCTCGACTGTGAAGTGGTGATCCGGAAAAAGGAGGCCTTACCTCAACCATCGCTTCCTCCTGCCGTTCCTCTAATGTATGCACCCCCACCTTCAGTAGCACAATCAGCTCCTCCCCCTGCTCCTGCTGCTGCATCAGCGCCTAATTCTCCTGTTTCGACACCATCTCCACCTCCTGATACCAAGTCGACCAACTCCTCCCTTCCACCTCTTAAATGTCCTATGGCAGGCACATTCTACCGTAGTCCAGGACCTGGAGAACCACCATATGTCAAGGTGAGTTTCTTTAGTGAATAGTATTTCATAAATCAATTATCGGAATGTCTCCTGCAACTTTTTGTTTCATCGTAAATCTATCATTGGGGCTGATTTGAGGAATTCTTCCTATAGGTTGGAGATAAAGTACAGAAGGGACAGGTCTTATGCATCATTGAGGCCATGAAATTAATGAACGAAATAGAAGTAAGAATTTCCCTCTTCGTCCATTTAGATCCTATGAATGTGAAAAATTATGTTGAAGTTTACCATCTATATGGAGCATTTTTTTTTAGAACCATCTATATGGAGCATTGATCAATATTCTACCACTGCTTGCTATTTCCTTGTCTTGCTTTAATTTTATGTCCTGTTCTCCGTTGAATTTGTGAATAATTTATTCCACGCTCTCCATAGTATTGTGGGAACCACATAAATTGCAAATTCTACATTGACTGTTTAGAATAGCCTGATCATGGATTGGGCATGTTTCCAACAAGATGGTAGTCAGTGGCGATGTTGGCTGTTGTTAAAAATTCATATCACACTTTTCATTCAAGTAATTTTCAGTTCGATTCTTTTTTATGTCCTAATTAATGTCATATACCTACGGATTAGTCTCAAGAGATTATTCATCGTGTAGTGCAAAAGTGCCTGAAGAATTATAGGCTAGAGTTCATTCAGGATAGATACAGCAAGTAGTAATGCTGTCATTTTTCATTTTTTCTGCTGTTTGTATCTCTTTAGTCTCCTTCAAACAATTATTGATCTATTACAGTGTAGTACTAGTACTTCCATAACAATTAGTACTCCCTCTTAGTATACTTTTCTTTGATAGAAAATAAAAACTTTTCATCAGAAAAACGAAAAATTACTAAGGGACACGAAAGGAACTTACAAAAAGGTTCTCCAAACTCCAACACACGTCCGTCCTTCTCTGTTATCTTCAAAAGTTAGATAGTTACTTTCCTTCCAAATCTCCCAGAATGTGGCCTTAACAGCCGTAATCCAAACAAATCAAACCGGAGGATTCAGATCCAAACCATAAAGCATCTAGTCCAAGGACCTAACCACATCCGCACAGGAGCACCAAGAAACACCAAAAGAATTAAGTAGGCCAGCCCACAACTTTTAGCTTATCTGGTACCAGAAAATAAGATGTTTTAACTTTAAATCCTCCTTTAAATCCTTCTTATTCTTAAAGCATAAACAACAGTAGTGAGACAGGGGACAAAAACAATGTATGCGTGCTTCTTTTGAACTAGATCAGCTGTGCTTAATCCATTTAAAGCAAAGGTCCACACAAATAAGTTAATTAGGAAAGTGAACTATAGTTGGCAACACCATTTTTACTTTTATCAATAACACCAGTAAACTGCGAATAAAAATAATTTGAGTCATTGACGACTGTCAAATTTTATCGGGGGGAAAGAGATCAGTGGGAAAAGTGAGTGTGGAAAAAAGTTGATGAGAGAGAAACGTGGTGGGAAAGAAATTAATAAGAAGGTATGTTCACAAATTAGAGTCGAAATTCAAGAGGTCTTGTTTGATATCTAGTAATATTGACTAGCCACTCTTAAAGGTAAAATAGAACTGCATTTCTATGCATAATGTCCAGTAGCCAGCTACCCAGATCACTGTTTTAACCCAACAATGGCTAATGTATGCTCTTTAAAAAAACCTAAATTTTCAGGCCGACCAATCAGGGACCATAGTTGAGGTTGTTGCAGAGGATGGGAAGCCCGTTAGTGTCGACACGGTGAGTACCTAACCATTAAAGATATTGTGGCTATAAACTCCACGTTTTTTGTTTTCTTGGATTTATGGACTTGTATTTTCTTCTGATTTCTTTGCAGCCTCTGTTCATCATCCAACCTTAAACAACGAATCCCATTTCATTTACACGTGATGAGTTAAGCAGATAAGATTAAGCTGAGTATGGGAAGCAAATTGAGTTTCCGATCAAGGTCAGGTTGTGGATTATTATGGTAGTTTCTTTTTTTGTTTTCCCATTTTAATCGAGTGTACCAAGAGAGAGAGATTGTGTTCATAAACGTCAGTTACTTCTCTAGTTTTAGTGGGAACTTTGGTTGTGAAATTAGATATTTTTTTTCCTTATCCTTTAATAAATACTTCTATTTTGGTGCCTTCTTGAGTTGATGAAATGAAAGGCAGTTGATCAATCATTTGGTAAGTAAACAATCTCTACCTCATAAGCCATAGATGGTAATCACAAAAACTGGAAAGTCTTCATCATGTACTGCCTTTTCTCAGTAAGTTTTAAATGAATAAATCCCACCTGGATATATTGCCTGTTGCTATGCGTGGCTTCGAGCCTTTTGTGCATTACACTATGCTTATTTTTTCGTGATCTATCAACTTCGGGCAATGATGAATAGATGTTTATTTAGATGCAATCATTTGAAGCTATATGTAGTAGATCTTATATGAAGCCATACGTATCAAGATAATGAGTGGAAAAATACTTCTAGCTTGCTCGTCCTCGTCTTTTAATCTCTTATATTTGAGAACCCTCGGCATCGCACAAGTGCAACAAATTCGAGCGAAGAATTTAGTTTTACCTAACCTAGATTGATGCTAGCTTCGATTCAACATCCATTTTAGTTTTTGATTTAACAAAGAATTTTAAATGCAATGTGTAGTGGTTAGGTCAGATTCATACCATCGAAATCTAGCATGAAACTTGCTTAATTGCAAGTAGTTACACAAAGAAAAACTTATCACAACGATTCATTACAATACATTATTTCCGTTCCATTATTTTGAAAAATAAATAACCCATTCTAATAATTTACCTAAACGAGGGTAGATTTCTTGACTATTTAAAACCCTTGATGAATTTTACCCTCGCCTAACCTAATCTAATCTAAATCTATCCTAATTATCGTCTCCACAACTTGCATGTATAGATCTTAATTTTAACTGCAGTTCTAGGTAGTGCAGCCTAGGATTCCATCACCTTCATAAGAAATGCAGTCTCTAAAGCTGATTCTTTACAGTGCAAATACCTGTTTTCCTCTACTATGTCTGTTGTTAAATTGAGAATTACTGGACGCTTCGGATCGTAAATACTGAAATCACGGACTCGAGCAATCCATTTTGCAGCTTCCCATACTCCAAATCTGTATAACACAAATAAGAAGATTGAACATAACATAATGACTGGGCAAGGAACAATATTTCCTGATGAGTAAATGAAACGACTAGTTGATCTATTTAAAAGCTAGAAAACTAGAATGGGCTGAAATTTGAAATGTCCTGAGTGATAAATACTTGGCTTCCTCTTTTCTTTTATTATCAGCTAACTTCTAGTCTTCTAATTCTAGTTCAGCCAAAAGCAACATCCTGAACGCCTATGCAGAACATTTTTCTTGTTTAAGAAAGAAGCATGGACTTTACAATGACATGAACTTTAGACAAGCAGAAAAAGAATGACAATTACCGGGTATTGAAGGTTGAGGTTATCAAAACAGCAGGGTAGGCGACATCCTTCTGTATGTTATCGTAGGGAGAATACCTGCGTATTGCATGAAAATCATCTACATTCCCAGGATATCCAAATTCTTCATAGTCAGCAGCTGTTAGTGGTATAATGGGATGAAGGAGTGTGCTTATTGGATCTAGAAATGGAACCTGCGACAAAAAGAAAGATTTGGTCAAACAAAATGGATAAAAGGCATGTTTGAGCCAAAAACCTTTCACCATTTTCTAAAATCATTTGTATATCATTATTATTTTAAATAGGTGTGATTTTGACAATGACAAAAGTACATATCCTAGTGTTTACAAATGGAGAAAATGATTTTGACTTTTCACTCCCAAACATGCCTCCAAGCACTAAAATTAGCCACACTGTTCACAGAGAAGTTATTTCAAAACAAGCAGAGAGATATATATACACACACACACATATACATACATACAAAGTGATGATACAAAAAGAATAAAGTCTTAGAAAAGGGAAGCCCTCATCCGACTTCAGAAGTAACATAAGATGCAACAAGTATGAAAGAGAAATAATGCAAAAGATGGAAGCATACTTTCAAAATAGCAGCTCGAAATAATTCTGGGCATTGATTGATGGCAGAAGCAACCAAAAGTCCTCCAGCACTATAGCCCCAACCAGCAAGCTTCTCCTCATTTATAATATTTCTCTCAGCAAGAAATTTAGCACATGAAATATAGTCTTGAATTGAATTAAACTTCTTTGCACGCCTACCATCATGATGCCACTTCTTACCCCCACCGCCTCCACCTCTAGAACCAAAGCATCAAATTATATGACAGGGGCAAACAAAAAGAAATCAGATGCCAAAATTGAGAAATAGAAGTTTTTACGGTAACTGAAATAAGTGATAACTATCATATGTTGAATTAAAACAATTTCTACCGGAGAAAGCTGTGTATCATCACCAAAGCAATAAAAAGTTCAGCTACAAAGGTATTTGGAATTCAGAGAAGTACAAATGCATACAAACCTCACATCAGCATATGCAATGACCCAGCCACGATCGAGAAGGCTTTTCAACTCACTGCGCCACCGTTTGTCAAGTAGCTCACCATATGCTCCATGTACATGTAGTAATCCAGGGTTGTCATTTTCTCTTTTACACTTGTAAGAGTATACAACTGTTAAAGGAACCAAAACCCCATCATTTGATGGCACATTGAAGCGTTCACAAGCATAAAATTCAGAGAGGCTGTTCCACATCTGATCATCATTCAAGTTGCCTTCACCCACAGAGTCCTCCAACACGTTAGATATTTTTCCTGATGCTCCTGTAGTAGAGGTTGTTCCATACAGAATTCGTGTTCTTTCATGAAGAATGCTTTGCTGTTGAATGATATTCCATTTTCCATCTGATAGGTGATAATCAACCACAGCATCAGGCATCTGTTTGAAATTCGGAAAACAATTAATGGGCGGCAAATGGTCAGACAGTATTACTATTACATTTATCTTGAAGTTTAAGGAGGTTAAGTTCTATAACCATTACATTCCAAAGGATAGGTTGTTAAAGCTAAAGCTATCAAGGATAATAGCTCAATATCATAGAGTCAGACCCAAGTTTAGTATAAGGAAACAAGTTGAGAAGCGAACTTGACAACTTTACATAGGCAAAAGGGTAACAACAACCCATAAATTGGGATAATAAAACAAATTCACAAATCCAGAAGTAATGAGTTAAAAAAGAAGGGCGGCTAAGATAATATAACTAAAGATAGAGGATAGACCATAATAGGCGACTGTAAAATAAATGTTTGTGCCAAGTTTTGCTGGCACATTACCAATAGAATAGTAGTCGTATCCTGGTATAAAATCCGAGTATTCAAATGCTTACTGCAGGACAAAAAGGTACATGGTGAAAAGTTCCCTATACCCTCGTTACAAGTTTCAAATGTACTGGATTAATTTTAAAATGTAAACTAGGGCAGTTCTCTTATCTTCTAGTTTAAACCATAAAGAAAAAGTAAACTGCCACCCAAACTCACGTAAGATATGATAATAGACAAAAGTTTTAACATTAAAAGCAATTAAGAATTCATATTCATCAAGCTTCGTGCCTCAACCATTATACAGTAATGGTAACCAACCATGTGCATTGAAACAATCTTAAGAAGACGAAACCAATAGAAATCCACGTACCACAGGTGATGAAATAGTAAATCGCATTGTTGATGAATAAAAGTCATAATTTGGTCCTGGGGAAATTTGTGATACATTCTCAGGAAGAGGTAGGAATTGTAGTTCAAGTTCTTTGAGATGGATTGGTCCCTGGTACATAGAGAGAGACAGATGTCAAGGAATATATAACAGTAGGCTAGGGCTTTGCCACATATTATAATGCAACCAGCGCAATAGAAAGTCCTGACATTACTTAAACCAGACCTTTCCAACAGGCAAGGGTAGACGAACAGCACAGAGTCTAAATTTCTGGCCTTCCCTAAGTATAAGCACCAAATGTGTGTGACTGAAATCAACATCCAACATCACCAAGTCTTGGTCTTCAATAAATACATGCTGCACCACATCATAAAATCGGTTGCTTAAGAAAATGTGTGGAAATAAGACTTATCAAGATGGAGAGACGAAAAACAATGTTCGTGGAAATGGTGAAGTTTTTGGATCATAAAGTGTAACAGGGACACCAAATCCCAACGAACACAACCAACCTCCCATGTTCTTGCAGTAGAATCAACCTTAAGGGGACTACGAAGAAGGTAATGAGAATCTACTGCTTCATGACCTTTATCAGCATCCGTAAACAAGTAAAGATCTCCCAGGTGATGTTCCATTATGCAATGGGCCAAACCTCCACACTCCCAAATTAACACCATACCAGATAATGGATCAGCAGCATCAATCAGAAAGACCTAAAATGCGGGTTCAGAAAACAACACAAACGAACTCAATCTAAATTGGGAGAACAAATATAAGCAAGTTATAATTGGTGGCGAAAAACATTCACTAAATGTAAATATAAGAATATTTAGGAGCCAAATACATAATTTCAACTAACATAAGTATCGACTATGAAGTTCTTCAGATGTCATACACACCTTAGAAGACGTGGGAGAGAATCGATTAACAGTAACAAAATGAAAATCTTTTGTGTGTCTAATATAAACATGGATATCGTCATCCAGTTCTTCCAGAAGCAAAATATCGTCATCGGTTGATCCAATCATGCTACAATACAACCTAAACGGACAGAAACAAGCACATTCCATTTCATTTTCACAACCATAGCCAAAATGGGAAAAAACAAATTTTAAATAATACACTAATTAGGAGCAACTGCACGGAGACACTAATTTACCAACCTACATGGTCTTTTATTTTGATCAGTAACAACATATAGCAATGCCTGGCCACCTTTGGCCCATGCCAAATTAGAAACTCGATCCACTTGAGGCTTACTACACAAAGAACCGGAATTCAAATTCTTTACAGATAATCTGAAGTAGTCATTGTCCTTGTCATACATAGTGTATGCAAGAAAGCGATGATCTGGAGATACTTCTGATAGCTCCTCGTAGGCATAACCTGCAATAATCATTAAGAGGATGCGTTTCAACGTATTCCAAATACATGTGGGCATTAAATATGGTCACACGAAAACAAGAATCAGAAACCTAATCTCTTCTTCTTGCAGATGATTACTTCATTTC